ACTTTGTGAGGCAGCTGGCTCAATTGTTCTCGGCTCACTTCATCCCTCCTTCAGACTGTTTGAGCTGCAGATTTTCCTTTCCCGGTAGGTGTTCTTCCAATCCGCTATTCTCCTCTTTAACTCCCCTTGGACAGGCTAAACGTCCTCCTTGTTGCAGAGCCCTTGAGAGTTCTCTTCTTCCTATTCAGAAAAGGCTTTTGTTGTCCACTGTCCGTCCTTTGAGGAGCAGATTTCTGTTAAACCGTTGTCCCGTGAAGCATGTTTAAGTCTGCGCATTCATTAGCAGGCTTGAAAAGCACGTGTGCACACTCGGACGTTTGTGTGTACATTAAAAAGAGAGAGTTCAGCTCTTCTGCAGTGAAGTAAGGGTAAGGTCGTGAACAATTAACACCTTTCTTTTTGTAGATAGCTTTTTTAATGACTTTACTTTGGAGAAAATTTGCTAGCCTGCAGTGGGGCACTAAGATCAAAGTGGATTGCTGTCATCTTTAAATTTTAGAGAACACATAAATGGCTATAACTCAGTCAGTTTTACAGATATTGGGCTAAAATTTAGTAAATTAGTAACTGAGACCCATTCCCAACTGATATTGTGCAAGACCTGCATCTAAAGGCTGGTTTATACTTCCAGTTACACATCTTTCTTTTGCTGCTGAGTGACAAAAAAATGTGTAAATCTGTCTGTTATCACTTGGTGACACCTGCCATGTGCATTGCCTCCAGTCAGAACTCCGTTCCAGTAGTCCTGGGAAGTGGTAATTTTCCACTTCCCATTGGTAGATTTAAACTGGAACGCCCCCTCCAGTCGTAATATTCCACTTGTAAAGTGGAAGAACTGAAACTGCCCCCAGTTTCGATTTCAAGATGGTGGCTATTCGCAGTTTTAGAAAGTTAACTCCGTAACTTTTACTGTTAATTAACTTTCTTAATTTTTTGTGTATGTTTAATCACTCGCACAAGTAGTGCGTTTTCTGTGCAATACTGTAAAATCAATGTTTATTTGCATGACGTACATAGTAGAGTTCTCTTTTTGTCATTGTTTATATTGTAGCAGTGTTGTAGCTAGGTTAGCAGCAGCAATACAATCACCTGTCGGCTAACTGGAATGCAGTTTCATATGGTTTGTTGGGAAATGACGTCACTACCATTTACCAGTTCCCGGAATACAATGTAAACGGAACGCAGCATCTGTCCTGCAGACCTTGTGGCTCACAGAGTTTGATTGGTCAGAACTAGGTGGACGTGTTTGTTCATGGGGAGCAGCATGTGTTTCTGCATGTATTATGCTGAAAATGATTTGTTCCCAGAAGCCATTAAATTAGGAAGATGCACAGCTTTGACAAGCAGCTGGTAATATGGTATTCCATCCCATCCGCATCTTCAACTCGGTCAGAAAAAGCTGTCCGAAGTGATGTAATTATCAGTCTGCTGTCTCCCATTCTGTTGAAGTATAAATCAGGCTTAAAACTTTGCTATTAACAGTTAGAATGAACTCATGTTAATTAATTTTTTTAAAAATTGAAGAATGTACTGTACCACTAAAAGTGATTGACTTTTGAGTCAACCCATTTCATGATGGTTGACAAAGCCAAAAAAAGACAAGAATGTCTAAAACTTAGCCAAATTTAAGCTGCTGAGGTTGTGGTAGTAGCTGAGAGTGAGTTCACGCATGAGCCTGTGCACAATATTAGTTTCAAGGTTTCATCAAAATGGCTGTGACTCTGTCACTTCTAATCATTAGATGATCTTAGTCTAAAATGTAGGTGATGCATTTGTCCAAGGAAAACTTGGCCTTTAATTCACATAAAGTTTGATGGGTATTTGCAAACACAAACAGAGACATCGGCAGCTAGTTGTAGCATTTTGGTAACAATTTTCATATTATTTCTGCTTAAATAACAAAATGAAATTAACACGCAAATTTTCTAATCTCAAAAAATTCATACCAACTTAAACTGAAGTAAAATACTGATAAAGCGGTATTTTTGTTATTTTCCAACAATCCCCTGAAATGTGTTACATGCTCCAAAGGTTTACCATTCATACAGCTATTCAATAGCAAATGGCTGTGTGTGTGCAACATGATTCAGTGTGTTGTTTATGCTGGCCAGAAAATGCAAACAGCTGCAAACACTTTTCAGCTTCCTGAAAGATAAAAAAATGACATATTCAGACATAGCCCCGATGTGTGATGAAACCGCTGTGGCTGAAGATGTTTTGAAATGACAACAATCAGCTTTGTTAGCCTGGTCAGAATTCCTCATTATTTTGTCAAATCAAAGCTGTTTAATGAGCTATCTACAACAGGTAAGATGTTCATTGTTCAGCAACTCTCCACCAAACCCTGCTTTAAGATCTGAACTGTCCCTTTTTAAGAGTAGCATATTTGTGTTGGGCAGTAAAGAGGATGCAGGATCATTCTGTCTACCTGTCGTTCTGTGCCGGCAGGTTGCAACAATTTCCTGCAGCTTCATCACTCACCTCCTCCTTCAGACTTGTGTTGCTGTCTTATGTTGTAGCAACACATAAATTAAACATGCCTCACATTGTGAATTATACTCAGCTCTCACATAAAATGACAGCTAGAGGAGTCAGACAGAAGCTGCCACCACTGGCGGCTCAGCACGCCCCGAGCATGCCTGTGGCCACTTTGTTTTCCTTTTTTTCCCCCACAACAAATCAGACAACCCACTCTGCAGACCTCCCACTAATGCAGACCAGCTGATTGTGAGTCACTCACTCTGCTCCTGGCCTCGCTCTGGTTTTAGCCTCTACTAATGTGACTCTGCAAGGATAACAATGATCACCCAGCACTCCTCTCTGCTGTCCTGCCCATTCACAGTCAATAGGGCTACACAGGAGCAAAACACACTGCTGATGCATTAGGAATAGCTAAGGAGTGTGTGCATGCAGACGTGTATGTGTGTGTGTGATGGCTCTGAGTAGTTTGTTGGGCTAATTTGCCAGCAGTGCTGCATCAGAGCCTCAATTTTCAGCTGTTTTTTTAGTGCAGGCTCCTCATCCATCTCTCCCCTTGTGTTTTCCCCTCTATGTCTCTTCTGTTTTTTTTTCCTCTGATGCACCGCCTCGTTTTTCCTCCTCCATGTCATGCTGCTTCACTTAAACGATGTTCATTTGCATTTTCTTTAATGTCAAATGACGTAAATAACAGTGAGGAGTACTTATGTGCGCAGTTTTGTCTTCATTGCATTCAGTCATGGTGGAGCATTTTGCAATGTTTGTGTTGAAAGACTGATCCCTTCAGCAGAGATCAGAGCTGTGGAGCTCAGGGATGCTGCTTGAAAACATCTGACTGTTTTTTTCTCTCTCCTCTGTATTCCGTCCAGGAGGCTCTCAGAACTGCACGGACACGCACAGAAATACACAGCAGTGACATGTTTCAGTACTATCATTCAGCTGTCAGTAGCATTCAGTGGTAATTCATCTGTAACAGTACATTATTCTGCCTGTCCTGTCAGCCTCTGTCATGTCCGTGCATCCTTCTCTTCCTCATTCAGTCTGCCACTTTGTCTGTCTTTGCTTGTTTTGTGCATCTTCACATCCTCAGGCTCACACAGATTCCCTCGCTAATGGAAAAGAAATAAAACACGTACAGTAGCTGCAGCGCGCGAATCAGCATGTTTCTCTGTGCGTCGGTTGTAGGGGTGTATGATCTGGTGTAGCTGAGCTGATTATTTCCAGAATTTTCCTTCTCATCACTGTATAAGCAGGTTTACAGTAGCAGATTCAGTTCAAAGCAGAAGCTCAAGCTGTTGAGTTGATAGACTTAATGACAACTTCGCTGCTGCTCTACTGTGTAGTGACCTGAGTTAACTAGAGAAAAATGTACACAGACCTTCACAAGAAAAAAAAACTGTTTACCCAATATTCAGATGTGGTAAAATAGTTTACTGCACCACACACACTGTAATAATGTGTTCAGTTTCTCAGTCATTTTCAGCTTTATTAAAAACTTGGTGTGGTATTAGCTGAGAGCTGTAACAGATTAAAAACTTTGAGAAGCAAGGTTGTAATATGCTGTTATTCTAAGAGTTTTATGTTTATTTTAAATGCTTTAGTGTTGTTTTTATTAAACTATCTTTAGTATTTGAGGGTATCTAGACAGTGACTCATTGCACATTGTAAGCTAAATAAAACATCACCTTAAAAACATAAGACAAACCCCCAATAATACACATGTAAGTTTGATTGTTTTTTTGTTTAATAGCTTATTCATTTTCAATTAAAAACAAAAAATGAAATGAAATCTGTCATGTGTCGCTCCTGGACTCTTCAGATTGTAAAAAGATCGTCTCCAGTGAGCTGCTCATATTTTGGAGATGGATTGATAAAATACTTTACACAGTGTCCAGGATTTTTAGAGGGTTACTTTTATTGTTTTGTCAACCGTTGGCATGATTGAAGGCTCTTTCTTTTCTCAGCCCTCAGGCAAACACAGTCCTGTACCAGAGAGGACTAGGGTCGTAAAGTCTCGGTGTAACATTGTGCTTTTCCTGTGAGGCTCAGGAACATATTAGCCTCAGAAATAGCTCTTCATCTCCCCCTCTCTGTCCATCATCAACTTGCCAACTGTCAGATGTTGCTGTCATCCCCAGCAGTCTCTTCATCTTTCTCTGTAATGGGAATCCCCCTCTGTTTTCTCTTTAGGCTGAGCTTATTTTCCAAATCCCCTGTGCTTTCCTGCTTTAGTATCATGTTTCTGAGTCAATATATTTTCCCTTTTTGTGTCCCACTTAACAGATTTTAGGTATCTTATATTGTTTAATGAGCTTTTCTTCTTTCCCACGGTAACCAGTAGAAAAAGCTTGATCCATTTATTTCTTCAGACTCTGCCTGGCTGCTCCAGTTTCACGCTGTTGATGTGGGAGATCTTTCGATCTTAGCTACCGCCAAATGATTTTCAGAAATCTCTCACCTCTGTTATTCTAACCCACCTCTTCTTGTTCCCCTTTCCATTTTTATTTCTCTCTTCTTGATAGTGAGACCGAAGGCTCAGCTGGTTCAGAGAAGACCTCCATCTGCAAAGGTAAAAAAAAAGTCTTCCTGCTTCATCTTGCTTTCTCTCTCTGCTTCTGAACACCAACCTTGCTGTGGGATAAGAAGACAGGAGCAGAATACAAAGCACTGCTTCAAAACTCCAGACAGAAAAATGAGAGATTATATTCTGTCTATCAAACAAACACACACAAACACACACGCGCACACTCTTATGTCTGTGTCACAAACATTTTCCCAAAGGAAATAAAACGTAAATCACATGATGAATATCCTCGTCACTTTAGTGCGTGCGTGTGTGTGCGTGTAAAAGAGGGAGAGGATACAAGAAAAATCCTGTTTTCTTATCCATTTATGAGAAAAGTCTGAGCTGTCAAAGGTTTACTGCTAACAGCCACTCAAGAAGGACGAGCTTCGCCAAGAAAAATACAGACTATTGCAACMATGTAATTGATAAATAAATTGATTCCTCTTTTTGAATCATACACCCCAATAATGATTAAAATAGTATCTCCTCCTGAGAATACACAAAGGTMTTTTTTTATTTGTTAGCAACTTATGTGTTTCCTGAAATTAAAATCAAAATGATGTTTTGACGTCAAGCCACTGAAATGAATAAACTGCTTCCATAAAAATAATACTGTTCAAACACCAGTGAGAACTTAAAAACAAACAAATACAATTCTCTGGATTTCTTTTAAYTTGAGTGTTAACCATGCAGTCATTTAAAAGGTACTCATTGCAAAATATGAAATGGAACATAAAAAAGAGTATCACACATACCAAATAGCATTTGCAGTTATATATTGAATGAGTTTACTCTTTACAGATGTACTGTTGAGTTATTCTGAAATGTGGGTCTGCACTGAGTGTAAACCAGGGRTCTCCAACCTCTTTTTCCTTAAGAGCTACTTTCACGAAATTAAATTGTCCAAGAGCTACACTTTACAACATTTAATTTTAAACTTAAATCATTGGAATAAGCTTGTTTTGCACAAAAAATAACATAGAATAAAATAAAACATGTAGATTCCAGAGCCACTTTAAATGAGCTCACGAGCTACTGGTTGGAGACCCCTGGTGTAAACAAATCATTGAACCACGTGAAGTTTCAGTCTAGTGCTTGACCTAAATTTGAATGATTCAATCTCATCTCAGGTCAAAATGAACAAAAAATGACTTCCAAAGGCAGCAATAGGTAAAAATGGCAGCCATATTGTTTTACCATGCGGATATTGTGCTTTTTTATTTTTTTGGAAATTTGGGAGATTATTTGGAAAATGTCATGCTTGTATCAACCAAAAATATTGTTTCATTTATCTAACCTTTGGCAACATCTCACTGAGGCAGTTTTAACATTTAGTCCACACGTTATCCTTGTTTAACCCCGAATACTCCTGACTAAATTTAGATAACATTTAACCCAAGGAAATGAGTTCCTATGCCCTACATTTTATAACATTTAAACTATTAAAATATGTCAGCCTGAGTTTCTGAACAAAGCCGAAATATCAATGTGCTCCGAACTGGATTTTAGCACTGACAGAAAACGACTGAATCACAGTCTGAACTTCTTACTGACCCTTTTCAGTCAGTCATCCAACTGTAAYGCAAATATTCAGTGAACATTTAAAATGTTGCAATAAATAAATAGATAAATTAGATTTAGGCATGTCAATCTACTGGTCTGGAGTGAATCAACCAGGCTATGCAAGCCTAAGTTTACAAACTTTAAGGGATCACACATCTTGGGACAATGGAGAGAAGTTTTCAGGAATGTGTTGCTGTCGGACAAGTTTTACATGTTCTGTCGTCTCAGCTAGCATTGGTGATGTTACATGCTGTCCAGAAATGTAGAGAAATAAATCTAAYTGTCCCCAGGCAGGGGAATTACAAATGCTCCATTTGAAGAAAGGCGTGGTCATGGTTGTGCAGCGAAGTCAGACATCACGCCGCTGACTTACATTTGGCTCTAAATTCCACTTTTTTCAGCCAATCTGCACCAAATTTGCTACGGTCGATCCTAATCTACCTTAATACAGGCATGCAGTCCAATTTTGTGTGTGTGTGGCCTAATTAAACATTGTGCCATTGATATACATTTGACTGTAAATTCCACATATTTTAGCCAATTTGYATGCAATTTGCTATGGTCGATCCAAAGCCACACCACTACAGAAGTGCAGTCCAATTTTCGCGGGGCATGGCCTAATAATGCCACAGCATCCCCTATAGTTAATAAAAATTTTGCCCCAAGCCATGCTTAGACCTGGAATCATGAAATCAGGTACACATGTGCAACGTCTCAGGACCTACAAAAAAGTGTCTTGGAGCTATGGTCCAATCCTTACAGGAAGTCGCCATTTTGACTTAAAGCTGCCAATTCGTCCCTGTGTATCCGAGCTGACTCCCCCTACAGCTGTGAACATGCAGAGTTCACATGCTGCGTGCTTCTCTCAACACTGACTGGTGCTGGGATGATGTGGGTGTGGCAGAGTGGTGAATGCTGATGCCTTGTGGTTTGCACACAKTTAGCTGTAAATCACACACGTGATTCAATCTGCTCCAGATTCTGTGTGCACCATCAGGGAGACCTGCTCAACAAGTCAGTGTAGTAATTTGAAGAGATCACTTCAGCCCCACCTACTTTGACCACAACGGGCTCTAAATCACACAAACATGATCTGATCTAAACTAAATTTTGTGTGCATCATAAGGTAGACCTTCTCAACACATTTGTACAGAAGTTTGACAAGATCACTTTAGCACATTGTCTATCCCTTTGTTCACCTTATGACATAAAATAAAATAAAATTAGGACATTAAATAATGAAGGTCTGATTCCAAAAAATTGCTAACAGTTGGTCATTACTGAATGGCAACGGGGGACATCAGCAACATTGAGCGTCAAGTTCTATTTGTTTTTATCCGTTTTCTCTGTGTTATGGGAATATCTGAAAGACAGCAACAGTGGAAACAGCTGATGGATCCTCTGTTTGCTACATCAAAACTTATTTGGCACATGGTTCCATCGCCCTTTTTGCACATTAACTCTTTTTCAGAAAATCCAAAAATCACCTCAAGTGAACTTAAAAACATTTTTTTGCAAAACTGAGGAAGTTTTTTTTTTTCAAATTTTTCTATTTCTGTCAAACATTTCTAATGTGATACTTCAAAATTTTCATAAAATAACATTGATGGAAACACAATTACTGGTATTGTCATTAAAAAGCAATTCCTTCTATAATTTCATGGTTAAAAACAGAGAAAAGAATCAAAATGAAGATGTAATTAGCACTGACAGATAAAAAAAAAAAAAAACAAGATTTTGCTACACTTAACATGTGACCACAGGCTGGGAGGCATGCTGAATGGGATGATACCAGAAATACATGTGTATTCATGTAACACATTGGTCAGTATGAAGTATGATATCCAACTTGAAGTGCTGCACATATTGTTCAAGATCTTTTATTGTCAAACTGCCTGCGTGGTTGGTTAGCTCACTGAATCATAGCTCATAAAAGGTCTTATTGTTGCAGCTGGAAGAAAGAAGCACAGAGATCTCCAGTTCAATTTTACATCCAGGTCAAGATTTTTATTCTTACGAAGCTCAACTAAATACAGACATCGGCTTGAAATCTTAACCTAGTTTTAGATGTGCACTAAAATGACTTTTAGGTCAAACTGAGCTTGATAGATCTGTGGATGTTTTAGATGTCTTTTAGTCATTTCTTCAGCTCAAAAATGCTCAGTGGGGTGTCCATCAGTTTATTAAATGGCTCCTGTGATGATGGCATGTCAGTGCAGTTTTCTTAGCCTATTTCTGTATTACATGTTACTCTGAGCTCAAGATCCCAGAATGACATGGCCTTTTTGAGAAGACTCATTTTTTACACCAGTAATTCATTACCAATTCAGCCTCTTTGTGTCTGTCACAGCTGTGTACAAACTGAAAGATTTTTGACACAAAGTTAGCAGCAGGATACTCTGTGGATCTGGCAGTGATTGTATCCTCCCTCTGCTTTGATCAATGATCAAAACGAGATAAAAGATGACAGAACACTGTCATTATCATCAGCTTCATTGTTGGTATCGTCTCCGTGACCTTTATCATTTATCAGTTTAATCATCATTATTTCATCCTCCGCAAATGTACACACCATTTTTGTCTCCGCCAGTCCCTCCATTATTCCAATCTTCTTGCTGACAAACAGCGTCTCTGATCCCCGGGCACATGTGGCGTCCTGCCCTTGTCTATCAGCACTTAAATACCAAATGGTGTTTGACCAGGATTCAAGGCTTTTTCTATTTCCGTCCCTGGTGCATGTGCATGTCTGCTTTGTCTGCCTGCATGTGTGCATGTCCGTAATGAGGGTGATTTTTATTTGTCCTTCTTGTCCTCTTGCTCCGTCAAGACCATAGATTCAATTTGTGTGACGAGACTAAATACAGTTACAAAATGAATGGAAGTCAATACAAAGTCCTCAGTTTGATGCAAATACAAGGGTGTGTGTGTGTGTGCGTGTGTGTGTGTGTGTGTGTGTGAGAAAGAAGAAGAACTTTAAATTTACCAACCTGGCACTTGCCATT